GCGCCACCGCCGCCCGCCCCCCGCCGGCGCGCCCACCCCCGCTCCCGGCCGCTGGCAATAATTACCTCGGTGCACAGGCGCCTCCCTCCGCGCCGAGCTAGGGGCGGGGGCTCAAAGGGCGCCGGGTGCCCCGGGAGGGGGCGCGGCGACGTCGGGGAAAGGGCACCTGCCCCTCCGCGCTCGCGGGAGCCGTGCCGGGCACTTTGGCGACGCTCGGAGTCCCCGCGCTCCTTCTCTCTGCCACCCTCGAGTCTTCCAAGGGGAAACCGTATAGATGGGGCTCCTCGAGGACGGGAGGCAGTGACCTTACTTTCAGAGAACTGGCGCGGCCAGGAAGCACCTGTTTCTCCTTACGCCCTTTCTGAGGCCGGGAAAGCTTCAGTTGATGTTTCTAGGGCTGACTAGGGATGGTTGAAATGGTGGATGGAAGGCCAGGTGGGGAGAGCCACCTCTCTGTGCCGTGTGCTAGAGAGGTTCTGTGCGCCGTTGCCCACAGTCTGGTGCTTTTGGAGCTCAGCACCCCACCAGCTCCAGAGAGGAATGCCACATCCTCAGCACCGTCTGTGGAAAAGAAAACAGACGTTTGTCTGTCTGTCTGTCTGTCTGTCTGTCTGTCTGTCTGTCTGTGTCTGTCTGTCTCCCTCTCCCTCTTTCCCCTACCATGTGTGTGTCTGTGTCTCTGTCTCTCTGTCTCTGCCTCCTCTCTCTCTCTCTCTCTCTCTCTCTCTCTCTCTCTCTCTCTCTCTCTCTCTGTTGGCTTTTAACTATTTCAAGCCAGTTCTTTAGAGTTGTCAGAATTCCTTGTTAAACTTTGAATTACAGTTGATTGTTCTGGACAACAGAAAAAATCAAACAAACCACGTTTTCGATTTGGAGCATACCTCATTTACCTTTATTGTCTCTTTGCATCCATTTTATGAATAACCACATTTTAGCTTTCAGCTCTGACCTGACAAGTAATTTATCTGTGCAAAGTTGTCAGCTGTACTGTTGCCAGGGGTTCCTGGGCCCCACATTTACTACCTGAGCTGTGCAGGGAAACAGGAGGGGTAATTTTAGCTCAACCCACCACCCATCCCAGACAGCAACACACAACCATGACTTTCCCAGCTGTTCTGCAGTCCTCTAAACAGAAGTCAGGAACCAGGACAGGCATTGTCTGTGTGAACTGTGACTAGCTGATACACATTTGGTGACAAGTAGAAGACCTGGGCTCCACCTTTGTGGATTTCAGACAGAACTATGTCTCCAAGCTTAAGTTTTCTCATCTGCAAAGTGGGGATGGGTTGTCTGCCTGTTCTCACAGAGGATTGTTAAGCTCCAAAGAAATATTGTACACAAACATGACTCAAAGTCCAGACAAAGGAAAGATCTTGCTAATATTTTTACCTTCTTGTTCAGTAAGTGAGAACACAGGCCTAGTACGCCTACACATGGGTTGGTTGACTAATCTCCTCAGAAAGGTACACACGTTCTCCACTAATCCTCCCTGCATTGTGTCATGCAAATCAAAAGTCAATAAACTCTTGAGTATTGCAGATACATGTACTTTTAAAAATTCCCTTGAAATGTAAGTATAAGAACTACATTCCAATATTTTATTAAATATGCCCAACTCCAGCTAGCATATAGTATCATGATTAGTAAAATTGAGTTGTCAAATTGGAACAGAGACTTACTGCTATTCAGTTGAATGTGGTATTTATGTTTTTAATAAATGTGAAATAACAAACAATGACGTGTCAGCAATTTAAAAAATTATACTACACAACTCATAGTCATTGTCCTTCCAGCTGAATTAAAAAGAATCTATGTCTTGCATACAGTATTCACTTGCCCTCTTACAGCTGAAGATTAGACCTGCTGGGTGGAAGCTTGTTAAATTTCAATTAGAAATGCTTCATGAGTCTCATGGAAAATGGCTTAGACTAAGTATCTGCTTATTGATGTATGGTCTGTTTGCTCAGAACAGATTGTGTCTATTGCTATTTTTATGTAACCAATAGTAAAAGATAAAAAAAGAAAAAGTTTCATTTAAAGCAGCGATTACAAAGCAGGATCAAGAGTAAATGTTCTACATCTGAAATTCATCTGAGTGAGACATAAAGCAAAAGTGTCTGAGATCAACATCTAGGATTTCAGCATTTGTACTTTCCCAAATGACAGTTAATTTAACCCAAGTAAATTATTACAGGATGATTAAACTTTACTTCCAGAACTCTTTGTTTATCAAGGTTCTGTTCATAGTTGTCAAGTTCTAGATTCCTGGAGTGGGAATAATTGCTGTAGATCCTTCTCATATGTTTGGTTTTATTTTGACAGTTATTTTTTACAGCCACCATCAAACATCTACCAGTCTGGGTCTCAAATGCTTTGTTTGCTTGCACTTAAGAGATTCATTCTTTCTTGTGCTTTGAATATAAAGGTGAAACTATTGATGCATCCCCCAAAATGCCTTTTAAATTTTCTTACAGATGCTGCTCATAGTGATGAACTTTAACAATATAATAGTGGGCAACAAACTGATCATCTTTTCTCTGTAAACAATACTCCTGCATTTGGTCCCTTAGCTGTTTTCCTATAGGCCTCTGGGACCATGGGAGTCCTCTGCCACCAAGGGCACAGAAGCATGTTCTCTGATTCTCATGAGCCCAAACAGGATGCCAAGCTCTTGAGTTGTCAATTCACCAGTCACAGATATTCTCCCCTCTGTGGCATGGTAGTTCTATAATATTCAGCAATTTCATGGAGGAGAAACTGTTAGCTAGAAAACTAACAGGTACTTGGATACTTCAATATAGAGATGACAAACACCATCCTCAGAGACAATACAGAAGAGAAAATTAGCTTGTTCTATTAGAAGTCACCCATACCTGTTAGAGAAATTCAGAGAGAAGAGAAATTACCCTAAACTGAGTTTGTTAGAAAAGTTTCACAGATGAGGCCATCCTAGGCTAAATAATGAGCTCATAACCACCCTGAGCTACACAGTGAAATCCTGTCTCAAAACAAATAAACAGGGCCCAAGAGATACTTCAACAGTCTAAGCACCTGCCTGGCAAGCACAAGGACCCAGGTTCAATTCCTGGTACCACATGCTATGCTGGCCCCATGTCAAGCTTGCCACCAAAACTGGTCATGGTGGTGCACACCTATAATCACAGTTCTGGGGAGACTGAGACAGGAAGATCACTACTAGTCTGAGCTGCATAGTAACACCCTGTACTAAATAAATAAGCAAATAAAATAAAAGATTAAAGAAACAAATGAAAAGTTTTACAAAAAATGTGGCACTATCTGTGGCTTAAAGTGTAACACTTGCAAATATCTGTGGAGGCATGGAATCAAAGGATACACTGAGATGATATTATAAAGATGCTTTAAAAGTCTCATCCCACACCCTTTCCTCTGGTACAATTCTGACAAGTCCAAAAGGAGTGAAAAAGAAGAAATACTAGGGTTCCAAACTTCTCTGACCCAGTAAATGCTTCATTCCACAGAAGTTTTCAGAATTGTAAAATATCAATTACACCTTTGTGGATGCTACTTAAAGATATACTCATAAGTGAAATAAACCAGACATACATGTGTAAATATAGTAGTTTCCCTAGTATAAGAACTCAAAAGAAGAAATACAAATAGAAAGGTATAATACAACTAAAAGGAAAGCAAGAACTTGAGGACTAGACAATGAAAAGAAAGCAAGAAGAGCTAGAAATCATGACAGGGGTAAGCCATACTGTTATATGTAGAAGATGGGTAAGGCAATGATCCTGAGAATCTTCAGAAGATTTTTGAATCTAGCAGTTAAGTGGAAAGATTCTCACCCTGACTAATTATATATACAGACACCTGTGAACTAAACAACTGCACTGAAGATGGCAATTTGTAATAGTACGTTCATGCTTGCAGTGCCTGTCATCTCTGAATACGGGCTGCTTGTCATGTCGTGCCAGTTGCTGCTGTGCTGTTTCTTGGGTAGATGATTGTTCAAAAAGAAGGGGGGTGATGAATGAAGGCAGGAGACACGAAAAGGAATGTTGCAGGACTGTCCTGCTACAAGGTTGTATATGGTTAGATTTCTGAACTTATGTGTAAACAAAAGAAGTAAGTAATTCTTTATGCCCATTTTAAAAATATATTTTAATTTTTTAAAATGTTTTTTTTCATCATATTCTCTAGGGACTTAAAGTTCAGCATATCAATACTTGATGAAAAATACCTGTTCCATGTTATGCCTAAGATGTTTGATATTCAGACAGATAGTGAGGTTAAGCTTAACAGCCTA